ACCACAGTGACTGAATTCCTGGTCAGCCTTTCAAGAATTTATGGGTATCAACTAAATTCCATAAGTGGAATGTTTAAGCTCTTCCAAAAAAAGCACTCCTGAATATATTAGTGAGGAACTCAAGAGATAAATAATAATGTGATTGACTAATTAGTAATGTGTGTTAAGTACTGCCCTAGAGGCTTGGCACCCATAGCACAGTGGTTATGTTGCCAGCCACATACACCAAGGGTGGGAGGTTTGAACCCGGCCCCAGCCAGCTAAAAACAAGGACAACTGCAATGAAAAATAGCCAGGCGTTGCGGTGGGCATATGTAGTCCCAGCTACTTGGGAGGCTGAGGCAAGAGAATCACTTAAGCCCAAGAGTTTGAGATTGCTGTGAGCTGTGATGTCATGGCACTCTACCGAGGACAACATAGTGAGACTGTCTCAACAACAAAAAAAGTACTGCCCTAGAAGCTTTACATTAAGCATTTAGCAACAACTCTACAAAGCAGATAGTCACACACCAATCATTTCAAATAAGATTTCATTTTAAAACGTGTACTGAAATTGAGTAACACACTGTGTTGCTGAAAATGTGGTGAAACAAACTGCTGGGTAGGCGAGCAAATTGGCACCACCATTCAGAGGGCTGTTTGGCAACATCAGCCTTTCACACACTTTGACTCATCAATTCTAGTTCTAAGAATGTATCTTACAGATATACTCACCTAATTGCAGAGGATATATGTGTAAGGATATTGATTCACATTTTATAGTAGAAAAATGATACATAACTATTCAAAAAGCTAAAATCAAAAGAACTGACAATATTAAATGGTGGCAAGAATGCATACATTGCCAGTGGGAAAACAAAGTAGCATAGTCATTTTGGGAAGTAGTTCGGCAATAGTTAAGCCATACATATACTTACCACATGACCCAGCAATCCCAATCTTAAGTGCTTACCCAAGAGAAATAAAAACTTATGTCCACACAGAAGCCAGTACATGATAATGGCAGATACATTCATAATTGCCCCCAGTTGGAAACAACCCAATGTCCCAATGTGAATGGACAGACAAACTCAGGTATCTCCATACCACCAAGTAGCACTCAGTCATGAAAAGGAAACAACTGCAGCTACACGCCACAACATGCACAAGTCTCAAACGCACTGTGTTCAGTGAAAGAAACCAGATTCAAAAGACTACATCCAATATGATCTACAGTATTTTAGCAAAGGTAAAATATAGGGACAGAAAACATATTAGTGGGCGACAATGGTTCGGACTGAAACAAGGTGACTGCCTACAGGATGCAGTAGGGAACGTTCTGCAAGAATGGGATTATTCTACATTTTAACTGTAATTACAGGATTGAATGTATTTACCAAATTTCATAAAGCTGTTCACTTAAAAAGGTAAGAGAGCAACTAATGTTTATGGAGCAAGCCCCCATTGAGACTTGAACCGCTGAAGTCACTGCTGAGTAAATGGCCAAGTCAGTGCTTGACCTCAAGTCCACTCTCTCTTGCTGAGTTACTTTCAGTTATCCTGAGCAGACACGTCTCTTTTCTCTCCCCTCAGCCTACCTTTCTCTCTTTTTTTCTCTCCTCCTCTCTCTCTTTCTCTTTCTTCTCCTCCTCTTCTTCTTCCTCCTCCTTTTCTCTTTTCTTTCTCCACATTCTCTCTCCTGGGCCTTTGCATGTGCCCATCCGTCAGCCTAGAAATGTCTTTCTCATCTAGTTAATTTCTAGTCCTTCTCTTTTTGTTTCCAGTCATCCTTCAGGTCTCAGTTCACATATTATTTCTTCCTAAACCTTCCCTGGTTAGATTAGGTTCTTCTCAAATCTATTTTATTCATTTATTTGTGTTTTTTTTTTTTTTTGAGACAAGTCTCAAGCTGTCACCCTGGGTAGAGTGTTGTGACATCACAGCTCAGCAACCTCAGACTCTTGGGCTTTAGTGATTCTCTTGCCTCAGCCTCCCAAGTAGCTGGGACTACAGGCGCCCGCCGCAACACCTGGCTATTTTTTGGTTGTAGTTGTCACTGTTGTTTGGCAGGCCCAGCCTAGATTGGAACCTGCCAGCTCTGGTATACGTGGCTGGTGCCCTAGTCACTAAGTTATAGGCATAGAGCCTCAAATCTATTTTAGAGGATGGGAAGGGCTGAGAAAGTGGGGTAAGCATAAAGATAAGGGATGCTTCTAACAGAGGTGCACCACCAACTCTCGGCCTAGCCCCAAGCCCAACGTTATGCCCCCTCTGGGCGTGGGGGCAGCCTGCTTCCAACACCTGGTCCTTATTAGGGTATAAAGTTCCAGCCCTCTCACCCCAGCCTGAAACAACTCAACCTCACTTTCAGAGCTTCCTGAGGGAGTAGGCTGAGACCAGATTCCTCCTTCCCTCCCCTAACCGCTCCCTAGGTGTGGATCATGAGAAAGTAATTTTCTAAGTGTTGGCAATGAGCTTGGCTTCCTGGGGAACCTGTGACTCAATCCCAGAGACCAGCAATATATACAGGCTTTTGCTGGTCCCCTACCTGCTCTGTTTCTCCAGGTGCTCAAGGGTGACTCATTACTCAGTAATTCCAGAGCAGAGGGTGGTTCCTGAATTGCACCTGGAGCAATATTAAGAGACAGCGCATAGTCACCCACAGAACAGCCCCAGAATTCCCTAGCTCTTGGTCTTCGGTGTGGCTGTGCTGCCTATGCAGAACTGCAACTCTGTTCTATGAGGGGTGCCCACACTGGACCGCTTTGCAGGACTCAAACCTCGCTATCTTGGGTACAACAAATATTTGTAGAATGACTAAATGAAACCCTGCAAAGCAGCTTATCTCGCAGATATTAGAGAATATTAAGTAACTGGCCCAGAGCAATAAGATTGTGACTGCTAGAGCTGGGATTTGAACCCAGATTTGGGTGAGCCCAAAAACCGGCACTTATACACGCCCGCCCTAGACACTGAGAATGGCCCATTATTATTTAGGATTTCAAATTTTAGGCTGAGATCATAATAATCCTCACATTTAAAGTGTCATCTAGGCGATTCCTTTTTTGTTTGTTTTTGATATAGAGTCTCACTACGGTGCCGTCGGTTCAGTGCCATGGCGTCACAGCTCACAGCAACCTTGCCTCAGCCTCCCGAGTAGCTGGGACTACAGGCACCCGCCACAACGCCCGGCTGCTTTTTTGTTTAGCAGGCCCGGGCTGAGTCCAAACCCACCAGCCCTGGTGCATGTGGCCAGCGCCCTAACCACTGAGCTACAGGCACCAAGGCAACCTATGAAGATTCAAAGTGGAAATACTGTTGGTGGAGGATTGGTGGTGGTTGGTATTGTCAATCCCATACAGGAAGTAAAACAAATCCTCCAGGTAAAATAACATTCTCATGCCACCTTTTCAGGTGGATGAACAATGAATTCATTCAATGTCTTATTTACTCCCCCAAGACATTAGAGACTGGCTCGGCGCCTGTGGCTCAAGCGGCTAAGGCGCCAGCCACATACACCTAAGGTAGCAGGTTCAACTTCCCAGCCCGGACCCGCCAAACAACAATGATGGCTGCAACCAAAAAATGGCCGGGCGTTGTGG